TGAGTGTTTGATGGTTGAAGTTTGCACACAATATAAGGCAAGTTTGGGCTTAAAATAGATCATATGATAATTTTTTTTAGGATTGGAATAGAATTATTTTTTTAGAGAAAATTTAGAACACTTATTTAAACCAAGATTTGCTTCAAACTTCAACTAAATTTCTCTTCAATTCTTTTTTCTGAATTGCAGCATTAAATTTTCTGACATAATCCTTTTAAGCTCCAAAAACCAAGTAAAACATTAAAAGAAATTTCATTAATAAAAAGAACATCAATTATTATAAAAACAATAAATACATATGTAAAATAAGAGATTTAATGATATTTTTAATGCACAATCACACCCCCCCAACATAGATTTTGCTAATCCTCAAGCAAAACAAAATATAAAACATTTGAAATAAAAAGAATAATAATAACTATAATTAGGCTCAACTCATCACACTTGAAGGACCTATCATGCAAACATTAGTATCTTCAACTTAGTGTATACACAATAGCAAATAAATAAAAATAAACATACTCAGATTCTCTAAATCAAATATCCATACAAAATTCCAAATTCAATTGTATTTATCATGCAACCAACATAATTGATTCCTGTGAAAACTCAACTTGTGATCTTCCCTTCTCACTACTACAAACAAGGTAGCAAACTAGAGAAATATCTATATTTTTTTCTTTCTTTTTTTTGTTTTTTTAAGATATTATTTATTTTGTCTTTAAGTGATCACTTTTCTTTTGACGCAAATACAAATATTTGTGATGAATGCACCCGGTTACTCACAAAGTCACAAACTTAAAATGCTTTTGCATACTCATATTTCAAGTTACCGTTTGACGTAAAGATAAATATTTATGATGGATATCCCTAGTTACTAAGCAACTCAAAATATTGGAGTAGATAGAACTTTGTAAACATTTATTTATTTAATTGTCTAATAATTAATACTCTCTTTACTTAAACCTTGTTTAGAACTAGATCAAAAGGGATGATCACAAGTAAAGCATCACACTTATCTTTTATGCATAATCACATAACTCACACAACTTTTACAAGGAAAGATGTACTTCAATAATCTTAAAGAGAGCCAAAAGTATGCTATATCTTGCTTTATAAGATATTATATATCCCAAATTAAAGCATGCAATGTTCAACACAATAATGAATCCAAAAATATAATGTTGATCTTAAACAAGTCTTACTCACCTATGAATGCAAAATTTAATTTTTTTCAAACAAGTATGGTCATCTCAAGCATTCAACATAATTAAATATCTAAAATTAAGTTTTACATTATCCTCAATGTAAAAAAAATAAAGAAGAAAAGAATAAAGATCAAAAAATTATTACTCCTTTTTTTTTCAAGGATGAATGTCTGATTGAATTGGACATGAGCTGACTTCTTGCTTGATTTTTTTTTTAACCTGCATATCACAACTAAAAGAAAACATTGATGTTTTTTTTTTTTTTTTTTTTTTTTGAAAATAAAGAACCTCACACCCCCCAACTTAAAATAATGCATTGTCCCGAATGCATGAACAAGAAAATATAAGAGATGGAAGAAAGAAGAAAAAAATGAAAATGAAAATAAAAATAAAAATAAAATAAAAATAAAAACTCATTACTTTTGATACTACAATGGTATTGGATCTTCAAGATCCAATGTCTCAACTTCAGCCACAACATTTTCAAGATAAGGTTTCAATCGATGACCATTTACTTTGAAAATATTTCCATTCTTGGGATTTTCTACCTCAAATGCACCATGCTCAGAGATGGATTTAATCACAAATGGACCAATCCATTTTGTCCTTAACTTCCCAGGAAAGAGATGTAATCGTGAATTATACAAGAGAACCTTTTGACCAACATGAAAGGATTTTCTAAGAATATGTTTATCATGCAAAGTTTTCATCTTATGTTTTGAAATTTTTGCATTTTCAAATGCATCATTTCTCAGCTCCTCTAATTCATCCAATTGAAGCTTTCTATTTTTGCCAACCTCGTTTTCATTGTCATTGAATTGTCGGATGGCCCAATATGCACGGTGCTCAATCTCAATAAGAAGATTACAAGGCTTTTCATAAACCACTTATAAGGAGGCATTCCTAAAAAGATCTTGTAAGCAATATGTTGGCAATGGTTTTCTTAGAAAGGAAATGTCCACCACGGGCTAATGCATGAAAAAAATTAATGACACTTAGAATTTCATGGTTAGGGATACACCGCCTAACAATTTGGTCAGGACAGTATTTAAATAAGTAGGGGTCATCCCAAAAAAAGGTACGCACATTGTGCAAGAATTTTTGTTTGTCAAGTTTAGACCAATGAGAAGGAATCTGACTTGTGGCTAGGTAATTTGTTAT